AGCCCCTCTGGCCAGCCTGTGCCAGTGCCCTGCCACCCCCAAAGTACAGAAGTTCTTCCCCATGTTCAGGTGGAACTGCCTGAGGTTCAGTTTGTGCCCGTTGCCCCTTAACCTGTCGCTGGGCACCACTGAGAAGAGTCTGGCCCCATCCTCTTGACACCTACCCTTAAAGTATTTGTAAGCATTGTTGAGATCCCCTCTCAGTCTGCTCTTCTCCAGGCTGAACAGACCCAGTGCCCTCAGCCCTTCCTCATCAGGGAGATGCTCCAGTGCCCTCATCATCTTCATTGCCCTCCGCTGGACCCTCTCCAGTAGTTCCTTGTCTCTCTTGAACTGGGGAGCCCAGAACTGGACCCAGCACTCCAGATGTGGCCTCACCAGGGCAGAGCAGAGGGGGAGGATAACCTCCCTTGACCTGCTGGCCACACTCTTCCTCATGCACCCCAAGGTACCATTGGCCTTCTTGGCCATGAGGGCGCACTGCTGGCTCACGGGCAACTTGCTGTCCCCCAGGACTCCCAGGTCCTTCTCCGCTGGGCTGCTCTCCAGCAGGTCAACCCCCAGCCTGTACTGGTGCAGGACCCTACACTTGCCCTTGTTGAACTTCATCAGGTTCCTCTCTGCCCAGCTCTCCAGCCTGTCCAGGTCTCACTGAATGTCCAGGTCTCACTGAACACAAAACCACATAGGCTCTATAATGAATTCAGAACGCATTTCCCCTTCCCAAGTCAACTACAATGGAACTACATGCTCTTCAGAGAAAAAACAGCAGTGTCTGGTTTGTACTTGATAAAAAGTTCCTCTCTGTGGCATAGCTGAAGGAGCTATGACCATGCTTCTCATTTCCACTAATGCACTTGCAGTAAATGAGTCAGATGCTCTATTAAATAGTTGCAAGACATCTTTCCAACTAGCACTGTAAGCACCGTCACCTCAGCCACATAAACAGCTGTCATCAGGCACCCAAGCAAACAAAGAAATCTAAGCCTTACCAGACACTCACCTAGGGATGCTAAATACACCTCTGAATCGTTCAGGGGTGCCCAGGGCTTCAGATTTGTTTGGGAAGAGCCACCTGATCCACTGCCCTGGCTTCCTCCATCGGTGTAGGAATCCATGAAGGAGTCTGTAAAAGCATCGCTAGGATCCTTCTGGTCGGGATGTGGCAGACACGAACAGATTTCAGCCCAGAGGTCTTCACTAGACCTGGTGACCACGGAGTCGGCGCTCTCAATCATTCTCATCGTGAAGTCCTGAGGCGGAGGGAATAAATGATGAACGCCGAGCAGAAAACCCTCTTCTCCCAGCCCCCCCCC